CGAATCAACAACCTTCTGATTGGGGGACGACCCGCTCTGCCTCTGAGCCACAGCCGCCCCTGTGTCTTTGCCACCTTTAAAAACTAGGAATAGGTGATTCAAGTGGTTTCAGTAAGAACCACATGTTTTCCATTCTTAATTCTCTCATTTCCCTCAATTTTTATAGGAACAATTATAAAACATGGCCTAAATAAGGAGACTAATATATTGGCTGGCTGTTGTCAGAATTAGGACCACATTTCCCATACACAGTGAAGCCAGAGGTTAGACCCTCTTGGCAAAGGTTTGTTTCATTTATGGTAATGTGTGTGTTTTAAGATGTATTGATGCTTAGATTTCAGCCACACCGACCCTTTCAATCATGATTCTCAAGTCTCCAGTGATTCTGCTTCATTATTTGATAAGAGAGCTATCTTTCAATGAGTGCCAGTATACACTGCAGCTGGAACATTATTTAGTAGGTCAGTGGTTTAATGTTGCTTTAATGTCTGGTGTAGTGTCTTACTGTCTACGCTGAGAGCCAGTGGAGGAGCTGTTAACTCCTACAGCAACACATCACACAAGTGCTGTTGGCAGCTTAGCTAGATCAGTTCTTTTGTAAGATTTGATCAAACTGTGGCCTGCAAATGAGTATGAAGTGGATCTCAGTCTGCCTGTACTCTGGAGCCTTCAAGTGCTGTTGGTTAGATTTAACAGCCTTAAAAGATACAGTGGTACAGAATCTTTTGAGGGAGAAGTGAATGTATTCTTTTTTTTTTTTTAGTCCCTTGTGTCTCCTTCCTGTCTGCTGATGTTCTCATTAACACACTGAACTCCTTCGTGGAAATTAATAATTCATCTCTACATCAATCTCTGGGTGTGTGTTGAGTCCATTTAGACCAGACAAAAGAATCTGCTTTATTTTTCAAGGCGTGTCAGACTTTTTTGGGTGATTATTGTTGAGCATTAGTATTTGTCATTATATCATTTAACAATGTTGCTGAAAAGAATATCGTAAAGAAACCAAGTGGCTAATCAATTAAACTCATTAAATGATATAACAAATAACCATATAACATTTTCAAATCATACTACGTCGGACACGTCTGATACATTTAGAACTTTTACACGTAATTGGTATTAAATTTTGTTAATACCAATTACACATTTTGTTTCTGAGAGTTAGCAGTTCATTCAACAGAAATTAATTAGTTTTAAGAACCCATCTTTCTCTACTCAAAGGCATCACCTCTACAAAAGAGCTCTAGTCCTGCTTCTTTTTCTATTGTTTTTCTTGTTGTCAGTAAATGTTGCCAAAGCAGGCCAGTATTACTGAACTCTGTCTCTGTCTGTCTCCAGCCAGGAGGAAAGGTGCATCTAGACATTCTGTCAGAGTTAGTGCGTCCTAGCATCGACTACGTCCGCCACAAGAAGTTTCGTTCTGGGAACTTCCCATCGTCGCTGAGTAACGAGAGTGATCGCCTGGTTCACTGGTGCCACGGAGCCCCTGGTGTCATCCATATGCTCATAATGGCTCATAAGGTGGGACTGGTTTATGCTGAAAACAATGCTTTGTGTAACAACACTCAAACGACATTAACGCTTGCTTTATGAAACCACCCTGTCCATCTCAAACACATGAACAACACTGGCACCCTGTGGCAGGGCTCTGCACTACATAGTCAGTATATTGTGTTACATACCTGTATAAAATGTGAAGTATGTTGCCTTTTTCAAGGGAACAGTCAACACATCTATCTGATTAAACACACACTTTATCTTGTCACTGATGAATTTAAGATTATGACAAAGATGGGATATGAATACTCCCCTCCTGGCTCAACACCAGCTAGCTTTCATTTTAAATGCCTGGCTGGGAATACACACACATACTGCAGTAATGCATTGAAGGCAAATTTCTTCTTTTCTTGGCCCATTAGGGATCACTTGGCAGCTAATGTGCTGCTATTCTGGAATTTTCATTCCTCTCACTAATGCAGAGACTCTTTGGCACCACACAGAGAACAAAGCACAATGGGAGACACGATTGCTTATCACTGTCTCGCTATTAACAGACCTTCTATTTGTTGTCGCAGGAGGGGCATTTCAGTGGCTGCATGTATTTTGTCAGTGATTATTTCAGGGTAGCTGTTGCAGCTGTAGTATGAACATCCTGTGTTCCATTTAAAGATGCTTGTTTACAGTGCATGATGGGTTTGGTTCAGAATATGTGAACATTGTCATACAATCATTGTTTCATTGAGCAATAATAATGGAGATCTGATTATAGAGAGAAGTTACAAACTCTGTAAGCACTGTTATTGTTTCCTACACAAGTGAAGGTGAGCATCATTAGCAACACAGGAAGATGTCAAAGGCTGCATGTTGCTATGCAACAGAGCTTTTTTATTTATATCATTTAAGCCATATATCAATGTGCTAATGATAACATTCAGCCACTAGATGTCGCACTCATTCCCCATCCAATCCATTCCAGTGGTCACCAGTTCATTGCACAACCTGCATATTTCATAGTCGAGTAGAGTGAGACTCAGACAGACTTAGGACTGAACTTGTATGGCACCAACTGAATTGTGTCGATACTACCATCATATGTTTTATATATATATATATATATATACGTATCGTATATTTTTGAACAATACCCGACCCTACTTCTCCCCCTTCCGTTCCATTTCATCTGCATATTTAATTGTTTAATGGTCTCTTGTGGTACAGTAATGAATACATATACATTAGCTATAGATTTAGTTTACTTTGTGCAGTTGTGTTTCAAGATTCATGTCAGTAATCCATGCTAATCTTAGGATATGGCTCACTAGTTTTAGGTAAGATTTATTTTGTTTTTTGTTTATTTACTTATTTTTAAATCAGCATCACGTATACCCAGTCCTAAATCCCCTGTGATGCACATCTGTATAAAGTCTCTTGTATATATCTAATCAATGTTTATGTTGTTTAGTTTTGAAGCCAGTGAGGACGTCACACTGCTGCTTTTATAACATCACATCTAATCAGACAAACTATGTTCACACTGTGTCTCAGTCTGTCTCATCAGCTTCAGACATGTCTGACAGATGACTCTGTCATGAAATGTAGTAGCATCACTCTACTCTTGATGAGACGTATTACTCATTAATTAGGTCTGGGCATGTTGGAACAGCTAGTTTTTTATGTGGGCTCAACTCTTATCTGTTCTCCAGGGAATCATCAGGAAGATGTTATTGTGTATTGTACGGCTTAAATGATAAAAGAATTATGGCTCAACTGCTTGTTTTCTGGATGTTTTATAGCTAATGTTTTCTGCTGATATTCAGTATCTTTGTTTCTTTATACTCAGACTTGAAAAAAGAATGAATCTCCAAAATTCAAAGTGTTTCAGGAGACTAGCCAACAACTGTATATAGTCTGAAGAGGGAACAATTACAAAACATGCTAACAAGCTTAAATCTTTCCACAATATTATGAATTTTCTGCTGACATCTGTCATGTATTTGAAGTTTGTCCGGTTTATTTGACCACACACTCCTTTACCTTATTACCAGCTCCTCCTCTGTACCGGGTTTGACTCTTCATTTGTCTTCATCTGTGTCTTCCCAGGTGTTTAAAGAGGAGAAGTACTTAAAGGAGGCTGTGGAATGCGCTGAAGTGATCTGGCAGCGGGGCCTGCTCAGAAAAGGCTACGGCATCTGCCATGGCACCGCCGGCAACGGCTACGCCTTCCTGTCCCTTTACAAGCTCACCCAGGAGAAGAAATACCTTTACCGCGTCTGCAAGGTAAGACAGCAAATTTTGATACTGATTTGACGAAAACGAACAGTTTTGGACCAGCCCTGAAAGATTACAGGAAATGATTAATCACTTTTCATGTAAAAGCCAGTGTTGCTGTTGTCATCACAATACCTTACATGACTGAGCCGGATGGGTTTTATACAGAAACACCTGGGAAGTCGTCCTCAGAACCTGAAAGTTAACTCTAAGTGCAGCTTTATAGTTTTTTGTTGAGACCCAACACCCTGCACACAAACTAAGTGTGGATTTATTATTTCTTTTATTAAAGCAGCTGGAACTGCATTGTATTATACAGCAGGACTGCATTAAAATGTAATTTCCGACCATTAGTAACCACTAGCCTTAGTGGTCTACTCTCCATTAACTGGATAGCAGCATATTTTGAGAGTCCTCCTCTTTAAAATCTCATTAATGAAGCAGATATCAAGTTATCTTAGGAACAATGGCTAAAATGATCAAAATAAGGCCACATCTTAAAGAAAGCAGCAACATTTGAAGTCAATCATTTGAATCAAATGATGACTTGAAGTATCATTTTCTTTTTGTTTTGCATCTTCTGAATGTCTATAAACACACTATCATTTCCTTCCTCCAGTTTGCCGAGTGGTGTTTGGCATATGGGACCCACGGCTGTCGCATTCCAGACAGACCGTACTCTCTTTTTGAAGGTATCAAACATTTATTATTTAACTTTTCTCCAGACTGACTAAAAAACTGCCCTGACATTTGTCCTTCTTTTCAATCAATGTAACACTTTTTCCATCAGAGGCCAATTATTCAGCATTCTGTGTAATTCTCTGAGAGAACTTAGAGTTAAGAACACGACTGGCAGCACAGCACAGCAGAAAAGCTTCTTTGAGTAGGAATCAACCACTGACTGCACAGAAGCAGGAGGCCTAATCACAGCTTTTAAAACGCAGGCTCATGGAGACAGTAAATACTACTTATTTGTTGGAGGAACTGAAATGTATATTAATGAAGAATACATTTATCAGGGCTCCAGATTAACTTTTTTTACCACAGTCCCGAAAAACTATTTTCCCAAAGTGAATGTAAACTGTCACAAAATCATTCAAGCACTTTTCCTGGCCGTCACTCTTACATTAAGTGGTGCACTGAAATTAAGCGGACCCAGTCCTAGCTTTGTTAGATGTTAGCTTTGTTAGCTCTGTTAGCTGTAAACCGTTTTCTATTTGTTTTTCATGTAAAGCAACCTATCATTTCCCTTACAGCCTACTGTAGTCTGTAGATGTTAACTTCACATCATGGTCCAAAAACTGAAGAAACAATCCCACACACTCCGAAAACAACAGCTCACCATCTTGTTTTGCCATACACGCAGGATGCTGGTAGTCACTCACAGTTGGAGGTGTGCCTGGTCGCGGGGCAGAGATTATTCGAGACGAGTGTATATAATGCAGTCTGCAATCTGTCTGTCTGTCACTGTTAACAGAGACTCCATTCTCCAGAGCAGTTCATACATTTCACTGATAAACCCCAGAATCTCCTCCAATGTAGCATTATCAGGGAGAAAATAATGTGCTCGCCACAGCCTGGGTAGCACCTGGCTAAAGTTATCTAGCTAGTAGCAAGCAGCTGGCTAGACTGGTTCAATTAAATGACTAATAAAAAGTCTTGCACTGAGTAACCAGCCAATGATCGTAACAGCATGAAGCTTGGTTTCATTTGTCATTTGCTAAGCGATACTTGTGTAATATTTTTACTATTTATTTTTACTAACTATGTACAACATTTCTCGGCATTTTCCTCTAACATATTGGTTTAAAAAAGAAAAAATCTTCCCAGCAATCCTGGGGAAGATTTCTGTTTTCCCCAGGATGAGGGGAGGCTGTTAGTCTGGAGCCCTGCTTTTAAATTTGACATGTCTCACTACCCTGCTGATAAACTGCTGCCACAGCTTCCTCCACCACCCCAACCTCTTCCTTTACCACAAATGATACTTTTCACATCCACATAATCATGACGTGAATTCCCTCATGTGTAAAACTGAGGTTTGATGTGAATTTGGTCATCTGCCCGCCCTCTGTCTGTCGCTCGCAGTAATGGATGTGTTCCTCCTCTCAGGTATGGCAGGGACCATCTACTACCTGTCAGAGATGGCAAACCCTGAAGCCTCCTGTTTCCCTGCCTTTGAACTTTGACCTTCCAACTGATGGGACGATGATGAAGGGGGACGGGGACAAACTGTTCTTTGCTGGAACACTGGACTAGGATGATTTTCTTTCAGCTTTTGGTCATGAGGCAGTAGTGACCAAATTAGACTGAAAATGAAGACCAGGCTCAAACTGAGAAGAGTGGGTGCAATTGATTGTTTGTTGGGGTTAACATAGTTTGGTTTATGAAATTGAAAACATACACAAGGAGATAAAGAAGGACCAAACTACAGGTTGAATGTTGATGGATATTTCCCTATTTAATTATCGACGCTTTAATCCTGTGGGTCAGATCTCACGAGTCCTTCAGCTCTGAGGTCCCCCGTCATCCTCCAGTGTCGGGGTGAAGACGTGGACCCCATGTCTCCTCCTCACCCATTACTATATATTGCCAGCTGGCATGGACACCGAAGAACACACTCTGCCCTCAGCCTTTAATATTGTAGCACATAGGCCAAGAAAGAGGGTGTGTGTGTGGTGTGTGTGTTTGTGTGGATGGATGCGTGTGTGTGAAGTGAACTAAAGCTGTTTAGGTATTTCTACGCCTCTGCATGCTGTATCGTATGGCTCGTATCCTGTCAATGTAGTGCTTTCCTCTTCCTGTATTTGTAGCTTTGCTGTTTCAGCTCTCCATTTGTCACATAGTGGCTCTTTAATTTCACTGAGAAGTTGAAACTAGCTTACTGCGCCAGACTTTTGTCAAGTTAACCAGTACATCAGCTGTCCAATTTAAAACTACAGCAGGTAACTTTTTGTTATATTCTGAAAGAATGAATATATCCTGACAGTAGTAAATCAGACAGATAATCTGTGAAAAAATCAGGTTCCTCTGGCTCCTCCTAGTGCGGGACTAGGGTCTGAATGAAAACAACCAAATCAGAGCCAAGAATGATAGTTGATATAGTGGATTTTTGATTCCAACGAAAATATATTCAAGCCCTTTCTTGGCTCTGATTGTTGTGTTTCATTCAGGCCCGGTGGATTCTTGCAAATAACCACTAGGGGATCCAGAGGAACCTGATATTGTTACAGATTTATTATTGTGTCCATGTACTAACATTATGAGAAGTTTCAGCGAATAAAACAAAAGGTTAGTTTTCATAAAAATAAATATAATAGAGATTATAGAGCTATAACATAACTGCAGCTATTCTACATGATTTTTTTCATTTTCCAAAAGACGCTGTGGGCTCCCAGTTTAAACCACCTCCAAACAATGTGACAAAACGCATCATTAATAAATAGGCTATAATAGTACAACATTTAAAAGCAATTAATTTTCTAAAATGCATTAAATCACCATGAATTGACGCCCTTTCATCCCTCACCCAATTTATGGTCTATTAAAATATTCAACCATAAAAATTCCCCGTCTAGCTTCCAATGAAGTTAGAATGTCAAATCGAAATGTAACAGGTTTATTAAAGAGTAAGGACTAAACCTGCTCTATATAAAAAGGTGCTTGAGATAACTTCTGTTACAATTTGCATTATATTTAATACCAAGCTCACCTGGGTCAGAATGTCTGCCAGCCATACCAACAAACGGTGATGCACTGTGTTTCTGACACCTTTCTATGCAGAACCCAAACATTAACTGTTTCAGCTAGTTTGAGCTACAGTATCTCGTCTGTTGGATCAGACCACATGGGCAAGCTTCGTTCCCCCACGGCATCAGCTGAGATGACCCTGTCTCGTCAGTAACTTTTCTTCCTTGGAGCACTTTTGATAGGTACTGACTGTCCAGACCAGAACACCCCCACAAATGCAGTTTGGAGATGCTCTGACCCAGTCCGTCTACATCACAATGTGGCCTTGTCAAAGTCGCTCCAAATCCCTCAACCTACCCATTTTTCTTGCTTCTAACACATCAACTTTCAGGACAAAAGTTCACTTGCTGCCTATATCCCACCCACTGACAGGAGCCATGATAACCAGATAACCAGTGTTATTCACTGTCAGTGTCATAATGTTATGGCTGATCAGAGTGTATATAAATAAAATTGAATTGAACTTGGCCTATAATGTTCAGCTACTCCCACCGCTTTCTAGTGCCATGCCATTGCACATATGTAGCAAATGTTCATTGGTAGCTTGTTCACAGGCATACAGGGTGTATAAAAGATCCCCATATAGCTCCAAACAGTTGTTAAGATGGCATATCTAGCAATGCTGGGAGATATTACAGCCCAAGGCAATTTTTTTCCCCACATTGTCACTCCTGAGGAAACATTTCAGTGAGTCTTTTCTGGCTTCCACTGTTGTTTTGATTCTTCAGTCGTGAAATTATTTCTCTCTTTAGCTTTAGAGGCCATGGCTCTGTCTTCCATCACCGCTTTCTCCATGATACACCTCTAGCCAAACGTATGTCCTAATATGGAGAAATGGTGGTGGGGCATGGCAGTATGCTAATCACAATATAGTGACCATTCATACAAAGCCTTTTTTTGAACAACTGTACATATTGTTAGCTACTGTATTGATCATAAGTTATTTATGCCTTGTGTAGTATTTATTAAAACATTGAACATTTGGGAAAATCCATTGTGCTTTTAAACTGAATACCACTATGAGCACTAACTCACACTAGACCTGACATTTTGTACATGTTCTTTCAGCATCTGCTGTGGCACTGTCACTTTGGTCCAGTTGTGTAACATACAAAGTCACATAGGAAGTGCTAAAGATGGAGCTAATGTAAAGCAATGGCTAACTATGTTCCCCGTATTTTGGGATTACAATTTGGATTAAATATGCACCAAAGTCAAAACAAACAAAGTATGGAGTGGTTTTTTAGTTTGACTTTAAATGTAAAGAAGACAGAATAATATTGGATTAGTTTTTTTTAAACCAAGTAACACAGCAACAGTACAAAGCTCCTTTTCTAAATCCAAGCTAGGTAGCTAGTTAGCTAGATAATGCAAGGAAATAAGTTAGATTACTGTGCTGAGCCTTTTACATTAGGTCTTTAGCTTCCAGAAAACACAGCCTTGCATTGATAGCATTTTGCTGAAGCTAATCCAAGCTACCTTTTGGCTTGCATCTAGCAGCATGCATTGGCTTTCAGTTAAGTAGCAAAATATATGTGGCACATGATGCTTTAAATAATTAAAGGCAAACCTTTTATGTCCACTTTTGTCAGTACATGTGTTGGTACTGGTCTTAACAACCTACTAAGGCTTTATACAGCTGAGGAATCAGACATCTGTCTTGTGCCCACATGTGTTTTTTGATCAGAAATGGAACCAAACATGAAGGTGTATCATTTGGTCTCAGTTAGCTGGTGCAAAGCCAACACCTGAATTGTAGTTCCATTAAACCAAATGCCATTTTGAGAAGTTTTCTTCTGTGATCCCCCAAAGTACTGTCTACATTGACAGCTAAAACAGAAGGTCCCCAACTCTGCTATTTTGTATCATCTAGGAACAAGACTAGGCATTGCTACCATTACGTTCAGTATCCTGTCAGGTCAGAGCTAGGCCTAAAAATGTCATGATTTCTACATGTTCATGTAAATGCTAGTCGTCCAACCATTTGCTGAATAAGCAAATGCATAAAGAACACATTCACATTCTCATCAGTAAGGTCGTCATAATTTCGGATGAATTGCGTTGCTTTGTGGAGAGTGTGGAAAGCCAATTGAAATACGAAGCAATCGAAACAACTGACGATTGAAGCCAAAAAAACAATAATATGCTAATAACATTACAATAACTAGCACACGGTCAGTTGCATTGCGCATTAGTGAAAGGCCTATTCTTTTTAAGTATGCATTACCAATAGTAACAGAAGTATATTCATGTAAACTTTACATGATAAAGCATCATTTTATGTTTTTACTCATGTTTTTTATTTCAGATATTTGACAATTTGACGTCATGTTTAGGCAAAGTAGAATACAACGGATTTTCCTTTTAAAATGAGAACTAAAATAAAGAAACAAGCCCAACTATAATGTATAAATAGTCTAACAAAAAACAAAGAAAATACTTTTTTGGTTTTGAAAATAAAAAACAGATCTGTTATCTGATTTAATGTGATGTGCTTATAAATGGTAATCGGGATTTAAACAAGAATTAAAATTTTGTTGTTTTTTTTGTTGTGACCCGGACGTTGCTGTAAGTAGTTTGAGTAGTATCAGACCTCTCTCCTCAGGCTACTCTCTTGCAGGTATTACCCCTGGTGGTCAGAGGATTTATTGTATTTTCTTTCAAAACTCCAGTGTTTAATTTTGTGTGTGTGTGTGTGTGTGTGTGTGTGTACAATGATGCTTTAAATAATTAAAGGGAAACTTTTTATGTCCACTTTTGTCAGTACATGTGTTGGTACTGGTCTTAATAATAATACACCTACACTACAACCTACTAAGGCTTTATACAGCTGAGGAATCAGACATCTGTCTTGTGCCCACGTGTTTTTTGATCAGAAATGGAACCAAACATGAAGGTGTATCTATCACTGTTTAATATCTACGCTCAACATTTACAGCAAGATGGATTCACCTCTAATGTGAAAAATTCTAATAGTGTCAGGTTCATCATAAGATGCTAGCTGCTCTTCCCCCATATAAAAAGTAACTTTGGTTGCTTCTTGTTAGCAACATGGTTAAGACCGAAAGGAACAGACAAATATATATTGAAGATTCAGTTTAAGAACTCTGTTCACAGACTCCTGAGCTTAGATGGTGGCATCCTGATCTGTGTGCTACCAACAGGGAGATGAAATAATAGCATCCAATTATCCCGACAGCAGATGAATGCCCACAAATGCCTCGTTCCCTTGCAGAGATCTGATGTCTTTGTATGAGCATAATAATGTGTGTTCGTCTGTCAGTGTCCAGGTTCACTGCTCCTAATGTGTTTAGTAGTGGTTTGTATCCTGATCCCAGCAGTGAGGAGTGTTTGTCCCTGTGTGTGTATTTGATTTGCTCTCAGTCTAAACTGCTATTATATGAATGTCTATTTGTTTTTGCTTATTAAACTCCTGGGCTTCAGTGACAGCAGCAGTGACAGTAACATGTCTTCATTGTTCTTAACCTGCTTCGTGGCTATTCAGTGCTTACAAAGAATTCATGCAAAGTTTGATATTGTTGGAAATAAAGAATGAATAGAGCTCCTGTGCCTCCTGTTTATTCCGATTTTCATTATTTTTTCACATACAATGCTAACAAATTTTTTTAATTTGGATTGTAAATGATGAAAGGTTGGTGATAACACAGCTCTCTAAATGTTTCTTAATGTAACACTGTGAAATTGTTCTGTGTGTGAATATCTTTTCTTCACCAAATATAATTAAGAATGTGTGTAATTTAAAATGTCCCATTGCATGTTTATCATTTTGACCCATATAATGCCAAAGTGTAGGTCTCTGGGTGCTTGCAGGGGGGCGGCTGTGGCTCAGAG